GGGGGCCAGGCAAAGCTCCTCCAGGAGCTGGTTCCACAAAGATGGAGACACCGCAAAGAAGGCCCTTACTTCTAGCAGAAGATTTATGGGCCTTCCTCAGGGTGGCTACCCAGAATAACCTCATCTGCAATGATCTGGTGTGTTGAGCAGTTGACATTGAGACAAGACGCTCCAACAAGTAACATGGGCCCAAACTGTGGAGAGCTTTGTATGTAAGAGTCAGAACCTAGAACCTGATCGAAGACTCAATGGGTAACTAGTGGAGGCGAGCCAGTTCACATCTAATTTAACATTAGATCTAATTTAACATAAGATGTGAACTAACATAAGAAATAGTAATGGACCCTCCTCAGGAAGAGTCTTAGGATATAAAGTTGCTACTTCTCTGGATAAATTTTTTTACATACAATAATTACATACGTACATCTTTTTCTTTTTGCAGACTGTCTACTTTTTCTTTGAGCATCTTGTACTCAAACTCTAATTTGTCTGCTTTCTTGGATTCTTCAGACAATCTATTCTGGAGTTCAACTACCTGCAAGAGAAGAAAGAGATCACCAATCACCAATAAAAGCAAGATGTAGGACACTTTACAAGAGTGGCTCAGTCCACATTTGAAGCTGCCTTTCTTCAATTGTTTGTCCAGGTTCAGCTGACATAGTAAGTTGCGGCTCCTTTCACGTAGAAATGAAAGGTTTCAAATCCTGTCCATGTCAAGAGAAAAAGGCCAACATGTGAGCCATTACCTCACTTAAACTCATCCTCGTTGATATAAAATGTGCAGATTCATCTGGTAATTTTTTTAAACCTATTCTAAGATATATTTGCATCTATTATACTGTCTCAATTATAATTCAATCTAGATAACAGGAAGTCATTTATATACAGTGGTGCCTCGCATAACGAGCGCCTCATATAGCGACGAATCCGCATAAAGTCATGTACAGTGGTGCCTCGCATAGCAACGTTAATCCATGCAGCAAAAATCGCTGCTAAGCGATTTCGTCGCTATGCGATTTTAAAAAGCCCATAGAAACGCATTAAAACCTGTTTAATGCATTCCTATGGGTAAAAAAATGACTTTAAAGCGAAGATCCTCCATACAGCGGCCATTTTCGCTGCTTCTAAAGTGAGGAATTGGCGCGAAAACACAGCGGGCGGCCATTTTTTTACCCGGTGGCCATTTTGGAACCGCCGATCTGCTGTTAAAAAATTATCGCTTTGCGATGATCGGTAAGCGAAACAGGGAACTGATCATCACAAAGTGAAAAAACGCATAGGAAACATCGCAATGCGATCGCTTCTGCGTTCGCAAAAAGTTCGTCACTATGTGGTTTCGTCGCTAAACAGAGCACCCGTTAAGCAAGGCACCAATGTATATATACACTCACACAGTGAGTTTAGTGTAGTCATATGATCTATAAACATATGCAAATTTAATCCTTATAAAGGAAGGAAAACAAGTTAAAAAACAAAAACCACATTTTATGTTCAGGCATAAAAACAGAGCCCTTCTATGTAGTGCAGCCAGGAAGACGTTAGCAACTTGGACCTGTTATATACAAATTCTGGTCTGGCCAGTAATACATGACCAGACACTTATCTGAAAAACCCTGAAATTTATGCAGCAGGTGGTGAATCAGATCACTCCTAACAGATAATAGAAAAGGTCATTTATTTTTGTTGATAAGAAAATAACATAAATTTACATTTTTGTCAAATAATGATTTGCTGTCAACGGAGCCATTCTCTTTTTACTTAACAAAGTTGTCATTGTTATATACTGTCAAGTTGCTTCTTCTTATTAATGACTCTGTGAAGTAACACTCTTCCACAAGTCCTTAATGATTTGAACGGAGCCATTCTCTTTTTACTTAACAAAGTTGTCATTGTTATATACTGTCAAGTTGCTTCTTCTTATTAATGACTCTGTGAAGTAACACTCTTCCACAAGTCCTATCATTTAACAACCCTTTTCAGGATTTGAACATTAAAGACTATGTTTTCCTTTACTTCAGTGGTTCCCAACTTTGGGTAACTCAGATGTTCTTGGACCACAATTCCCAGAAGCCTTCATCACCAGCTGTGACCAGTTATTCTCTGCAGCAAATCTCTTACGATAAATTGCTGCTGACTAAAGGTGATTTCACTGTTATTCTCTGCAGCAAATCACTTACAATAAAAAAATAAATTGCTGCTGACTAAAGGTGATTTCAGGGATCATGTATATACAGTGGTGCCCCGCTTAATGATTACCTCGTTGTACGACAAACCCGCTGTATGATGAGGTTTTTGCGATTGCAATGTTTAGATAGGGAAATTTCGCTTTACGATGATCGGTTCCCTGCTTCGGGAACTGATTTTTCGCTTCCTGACGATCAAAACCAGCTGATTGTCGGGTTTTCAACCGCCCGCTGTTCAAAATGGCTCCCCACTGTGCTTAGGGTGGATTTTTTGCATTACAGGCACTGGAAAATGGCCGCCCTATGGAGGATCTTCGCTGGACGCTGAGGTATTTCGCCCATTGGAACGCATTGAGCGGTTTTCAATGTGTTTCAATGGGCTTTTTACTTTCGCTTGACAACGATTTCGTTCTACAGTGATTTTGCTGGAACAGATTATCGTTGTCAAGCAAGGCACCACTGTAATGCGATAAAGTCATGCACATCTCAAAATCATCAAAGGAAGTCACTAATGCCAATTTGTTGCTGATGATGATTTATTTATTTATTTATTTATTTATTTATTTATTTATTCAATTTATATGCTGCCCACACTACCCAGAGGTCATCACCACTGCACATGTGGAACTAGCCACTGCACAGGATTTCAGCCACTTTTTAGACTATGAATGTATTTACATTACACAGTCACAACTGTTTGTGCCAATTTGTTGCTGATGATTATGTCATCACTGCACATGTGGAACTGTACAACAGGATTTCAGCCACTTTTTAGACTGTGAGTGTATTTACATTACACAGTCACAACTGTTTTATTCCAAGTTCACTGCCATAGCTGCACCCTACGAATGCTGAGAACTGAAGTTTAGTGTGGTACTGTACTTAGAATTCTCTCTTAGAGAGTTCCAGCCCATCCTGGTGAATTACACAAAGAGAATTCTGTAATTCACCAAAGGACAGATTTCAGAATTCCAGAGGACAGAGCCATATCAGATAAAGCAGAATTAGACTAGAACCCTGCAGTGCGGATACACTCTTTAACTTGCTTTTACACCTGATAATTAGAAAACAAATCACAACATTCATTTAGTCCTATCCCGACAGGTAAGACAGGCTCTGGTTACCCAGAGTAATAAAAAAATTATATGTCTGGTATGGCAGTAAATAATGAGGCTACATAAAAAAATATAACTTGCAACATTTTAGAATATGACCTAAGTTTCTGGGGTGCTTTGGAGAAGAGAGGAAATGGACGTCATATTGCATTCACTGTTAACTCTTTCATATCTTAAGAAGTGCATTCCAGTACTGGATTTACAAGGATTCATTTGTAAAGGAACTACAGTACTTCATTTAGTTTTTGGTTACTGAATTGCTACTTTCCTGGGACACAGGGGGTGGGGTAAGGTTTCTACGTAATTATGAAAAACATATACAAATGTGTTCATAGGAACAGAGTTTCAAGAAGATACATAAAATTATACTGTTAATTAAACAATTGATAATCTCCAATAAAAAGTGGACTATAATTTTTAAAGAAAGAAATTCAATGCTGAGCTAAAGTGCCTTAATTAGATTTTCTGGGCTATAGAGAAACTGTTTTAACCCTCTATAGCCCTACCACTGAACAGCCTGAGATGGCCACCTCAGGTGGCAGAACAGGAGAGGTGGCAAGGCCACTACAACACAACCTCTACCATTCTCTCACATTTTGCCAAAAGCAGGCTTGGCCAGTCCCTACTGCTGTGTTTGGCTCCACTGAGGCTGGCTAGGACTTTCATTAAGATATGGCTGCCAAGGTCCTATAATAATATTTACATGTCATCACGTTGAGGGCTCTGTAGAACTGACCAGCTTGCCCAAAGCTACACAGACCAGTTCTTCTCTTAGGAGGCACAGTGGGGAGCCTAATTCTCGACCTCTGGCTCCACAGTCAGGCACCCAACTCACTCCACTATCCAACTTGCACCAACTGTCCTATAGGCAATAATGTTGACATGTCACCTACTTAAACCTTACGGAAGTAGCTGGCTAGTGTTGTTGGAGCCCAATCGTATAAAGGTGGATTGGAGGAGCAAGGTCAAGGCTTCTTTGGGTAGGATGCGGGGCTGCGGACAGTTCCGCATGTGATGGGAGTGAAAGACGAGAAAGCCGCAACTGTGGCCCTAATTCAGGTGGGGGAGAAAGTGCTTTACTTCCCACCTCACGTGGCAGAAGCCCTTGTACCACCTCTGTTTAACAGACATCTCTAAAATGAAGTAAAAATTCATTTACTATTCACAAGTCCCTTATAGTATTTAAACTATTAATGGGTATTCCAACTACTCATAAGTACAGACAAACCATTTTCATATAGTAATTACAAGGATATGGCAAATATAACCATTTGCTCTGAAAAAAACTTTACCATTTTACACCTATTTACGTTATATGTTCTGCAGTCATTTTTTCTTTGGTTGTGATCCTTTTATTACCTCACACTGGTTTTTACTATACACCAGAATAAAAATATTTGGGGAAGTGTTTTTAGATGTCTATCTTTTTGGTTCATAGCTATCCAAGAGGAATCTCTGTCTATTTGTTCGTCAAGGAACCTTCAGAACTGCAAAATGAAAACTATGACCTGGAAGTGATGAAAGACCCATTGGCTGAAATGCAATAGTAAGCCAGAACTAGAGTAGTCCCATTAAATCAGTGGAACACATGTACATAGGTAACAACTCACAAAATTTCCACTGATTCAATGGGCCTCCTGTATTTTATCCAGTGGCTCTAAATCCTTTCACTTCTGATCTCACCTGTCTCTTGTATGTTTCCAGTTGACTGCGGGCTGCATTGGCTTTCCTCAACTCTTCTTCTAAGCTTACAGTGTTCTGCATGTACATTGTATTCTTCTCCTCCAGGAGTTTCACTTGTCTCCGTAGATCTCCAAGATCTTCAAGTTTCTTTTTGTACGAGTCAACCTGGCTTTCTAATTTAGCCACTTTGTCAGAGGAATGCCTGAAGGAAGGAAGACATTACAGTAAATTTATTTAGAACATTACTTACTCCTCAGAGCTAGAAACTGGTTTATACTGCAAAAGGAAAGCGAAGTGCACTACTTCTATACCCGAAAGTGCTTCAAGCACTCTCTGGGTCATTTACAATTTATTTATGCAGGTTACAGATTGCCCCCTCTCAGCGAGCTGGGTACTCAATTTACAGACTTCAGAAGGATGGAAAGATGAGTCAACCTCAAGACAGCTACCTGAACCCGTTGGGACTGAACTCAGGTTGTGAGCAGAGTCTTCACTGGAGTACTGCAATTTAACCACTGCGCAATGAGGCTCTGAGTCAGACTTCCCAACCTGCTATGTGAACAGGAAAACTATCCTTTTGATTTCCCTACTTTTCCAAATATCACGCTAGTTTTCTGGGAGAAAGAGGTACAAAAATGCGAACATTAGAGGTAGTGGTATTCAAGAGACCTTTGGATAGTGTGGGGGGCATGTAAGTTAAATGAATGAATGAATGAATGAATGAATGAATGAATGAATGAATGAATGAATGAATGAATGAATGAATGAAT